CAGGATACATGTGCTCATCAGAAAGAGACAGAGAGAAGGAAAGCGACAAAGCAGGCCTTTAGGTTCGGTACTCGAACTGCAGTTAGCCATGTGGGACTCATGAGAGCCTTTCCAGCAGAGTCATCTTCTATTTTTAATTGCCAGGGGGTGTGTGCAGTCACTAGAGTAGAGAGAGGGCAAAAGCTTAATATTTAAAACAGTTGCATAAAATTGGATGAAAGGAAATAGGTTAAAATATTTTATACTATAAGTATTTTCCATAATTTGTACATGTGACTTTTATATCCAGAAATATTAATAAATCTTATTTTAAAAAACCTCATGTTAGACCAGGAGCAAAATGCTTCTGTAATTGTTCTATAAACCATCCAGTCCTATTCTGGAATGATTTGGAACATCAACACTTACACATATAACTATAATTGTCAATATAAATTTTTTGCTAAGGAATTCATCAGATGGATATATTTTAGTGCCATGAGAACAATTTTCTTTAGAAAGTTTTTTTATTACCTTTTTCTTTTCTTTTTTGAGATGTTTTTGCTATAGGACATGTACACTTGCCAGAGAGACAGAGAGATAGAGAGTGAGAAATCACCTCCCAGGGGGATGGCCATACCACAATCCCTTCTTCATTCTCCTCAGGATTTTGGGCATGCACACATGCATGCCTGGCATGAGTTTTAAGCCTCCAAGTCTGTGACTCCAATTGCAATTGAGTATATGGGGATCCAGCAACATAACCATTATGACATCTGCTGGTCCCTTTGCTTATCTTTTTTATGTGAAAGATGAAAGTCTGTCCCTGGTTTATGCATAGTGAATTCAGTGAAGTAGCAATGGCCTTATTTGGGCAATGGTTTTGTGGGAAATGATTTTAATTAAGTAAATAGAAAACAAAGGCATGCTATTCTCAGATTAAAGCAACATCTACTTTTTGAATAATTATTCATTTAATCTTATTTATCATTATTATTATTTTAAAATTTGCTACAGGATACATGTGCTCATCAGAAAGAGACAGAGAGAAGGAAAGCGACAAAGCAGGCCTTTAGGTTCGGTACTCGAACTGCAGTTAGCCATGTGGGACTCATGAGAGCCTTTCCAGCAGAGTCATCTTCTATTTTTAATTGCCAGGGGGTGTGTGCAGTCACTAGAGTAGAGAGAGGGCAAAAGCACTCTCCCTCCCACCCCAATGAGGTGTGATCATGCCACAGGTCCTTCACCATTTTTCCATTCTGCCAGGATTTGGGGCATGCATGCACATGTACCCAGCATGTTTTTCAAGTTACTGGTGCTAGGACTTCCACTGTGGTTGGCCATGTGGAATCCAGCTCTCAAAGGAGAATGCTTAACCACTGTTCTTTTTTATTTTGAGAGATTTTTGCTATGGGGCATGTGCGCTCACCAGACAGAGAGAGAGAGACAGAGAGATAGAAGGCGAGAAATCACTCCCTCGTGGGGATGGCCACGCCACAATCCCTTCTTCTCCATTCTCCTCTCAGGATCCTGGGCATGCATGCACATGCGCCGGACATGAGTTTAAGCCACCGGATCCGGGACTTGAACCGCGGTCGACTACGTGGGAGTCCAGCAACATAGCCATTACGCTAACTGCTGGTCCCCACTTAACCACTGTTCTAGAGCTGACCCAGAGTTATCTTCGATACTTGTTAAATATATACATTTCCTAACCTATTAAATCAGAATCTGAGGATAGGCATCAGGAATTTGTATTATCAAAGATATACTGTAGGTAATTCTCTTATAATTCTCTATGAACCTCTGGTTGGGAAATAAAAGTTTGAAGTTTTAAAATTCTTGTACAGGAGCTCGTCTGCTCCAATGTTGATTGAATAGAGTGTTTTGTTTTTTTTTCCTCTCAACTGAATAAATTTAAAGTATAAAGTACTTTACTTCTCAGATAAATCAGAATTGTGGGAATGGAGTTTACCTTTTCTACTATAGTCATTTTAATGAGGTTTACATTTGGAATTTAGTTTAAGAGCAGATATAGGTGATCAGTGGCATTTCTGGGACTGCTGTTTGGGTGACTACAGGTGATTTGTTTTGGCCACACAGTGCAAGTCCCCAGTTCCATTTCTTTTGGGGCATACTTTAGGTGGAATGCTTGCCTAAATCATTGCATAGCAGAGATCATATCTCTTATGAAACAGGTCTTCAAGTGACACCTTGGTAGCTGAGCACTGGAACCAGACACATCGATCACTGTGTGCTATGACCTAAATGCTTGTCCCCATCTCCATCCTAAATTTGTATGTTGAATTTAACACCCATGGTATTAGGAGGTAGGGCCTTTGGGGTAAATGGAATTTGTGCCCTTACAGAAGAGGCCCCAGAGAGCTGACTTGCCCTTTACACCATATGAAGACACAGAGACTTACTATTTCTGAGCCTCACCAGACATATTCCTGCCTCCAGAACTGTGAGAAATAAATTTCCCTTGTTTATAAGCTACACAATTTATGATGGTTTGTTACAGCAGCCTGAGTGAACAATAAACAACTTGAAACCTTAGATTCTTCTTATGTGAAATGGGGGTGTGACTAGTACCAGACTGAAGAAGAATCATGTGCAAAATATTTAGCACAATGCATATTATGAAGAAAGCACTTATGAGTATTCATAGTTACGACTTCATAATAGCTAAACTTACACAAGTTTGGGAGGTGAGGTTTTCTAGCTGACTTAGAAGACCGTGTTAGTTATCAGACAAACCTAAAGATTTGGAATAATCCCCAATCCTTGGAGATTCAAGGTGGAGTAAGATGACAGTGGAACCAAGTTTACTAATGGTCCTTTGTCTGAGCCAGATTTTCGAGATTTGTTGGTCTTATGGAACATCCTAACCTGACATTATTTATTGAAATCTACCCTCTAAAGGTTGGTTGAGGGCTAAATTGAATTATGTGATGTGAAACAATATCTATTTCCATACCTTCTCAGTCCCAAAGAAAATAAAAAAATCATTCCAATGCAAACACACACACACACACACACACACACACACACACACAGACACACACAAGCAGACACAGAGATATAGCCTTAATCCCGGCCCCCTGTGTATTTCTGGAGTGCGACATTTCTAACAAATGTCCCTGCCTCTATGGTAGCCTTCATTATAAAACACATTTACTCTACCCTTTCTTGCCTTATTGGTAAATATTCCTTCAATGAAGTTACTTGTTATAGAACCAGCAGGTGTCTTTGTGGTTAAGGTGCTAGAGTCCCAAATGGTGAACTACGGTTTGAGTCCCAGACCTGGTGGCTTGAAACTCAGGTGGGGTGCATGTATGTGCATGCCCCAAATCCTGAGAGGAGAGTGAAGGAGAAGAGACTGTGGTGTTGCCATTCCCCATGGGGAATTTCTCACTTTCTCTCTCTCTGTCTCTCTGGCAAGCTCACATGCCCTATAACAAAAAATCTCTCAAAAAATTACTTGTTCCATTTACCCTGTTTAAACTTGCATTGGCCAACTAATAGGCATCTATCTCTAGGGGCTTTTCTTTTCTTTTTCTTTTTTTTGGAGAGGTTTTCACTATAGGGCGCGTGTGCTCACCAGACAGACAGAGAGAGACATAGAGACAGAAAGCGAGAAATCACCCCCCAAGGGGGATGGTCATGCTGCAATCCCTTCTCTTCCATTCTCCTCTCGGGATCTTGGGCATGCATACACATGCGCCTGGTGTGAGTTTTAAGCCACCGGGTCCGGGACGCGAACTGCGGTCGACTACGTGGGAGTCCAGCGACATAGCCATTACGCTAACTGCTGGTTCCCGGGGGTGGGGGGGGGCTTTTCAACTTTATGAAAATACCCATTCTCCAGAAACACAAGCAAGTCAGGTAAAGACAGAGATGTCCAGGAGCCATCCCTTATATTATCCAGTTGCACAACACACTTCTTGAATAAATGACATATCCTAATTTAGGATACATCACCAGATTTAAATCAGAGAGTATTCTCTGCCAGTCAATAAGGGTGCGGGTCACTGGAAGGTCCCTTCGCAGAATTTTTCTCAGGGCTTCATTTGATAACTCCTGTAGCTCTTCTAGGACTGCAGCTTGAAATTTATTCTCTTGTTCTTCCACGAGCCTTGCAAAATTTAGAGCCAGTTGTGCTTGGTTAACTATTTCCAAGCTTTCTTTCAGGTCCTTGGAGATTTCAATATGAAGATTGACACACCTGAAGAAGTGAGCTTGCACAAAAATTCTTCCTGTTACTTGGGTTAGAAATGGATTTACTTGGAAAATCCACTTCGATTTCCAAAGACCATTCCAGCAACCTCCTGATCCGTAGTTGTGATCTTCAATGCAAGCTATCAAGAACTCCTTATGTTTTATAGTTTTTCTCAGCACGTTGCAATTTCCCATTGGATAATGATCATTCACATACAGTTTCAAGGCACATAGAACAACAGTTCTCAGGTATTCTGCCTCATTCCGAATGATACCGTGACTTTGAATGTCTTTCAACTGATTTTGGAGCAGGTCAAATTTGAAAGAAAGTTTCGTTTGATAGTCAAAAAAACGGTAGTTACCCATGACATTGTGGTGAGACAGGAGTACTGGATTTCCATCAATGCAGAGAGGTACAGAATACTTTTGGCAGTGCTGGTGGCCTGCACACTCACCTTGATGGTGCATAAGTTTTTCATCACGGATAAGCAGACAGAGATCATCAAAGGCATTTACAAATTCCCCCGGAGGAGCCTGTATTAACAGTCTGCGAATTACTTTTTCTTTCTCTTTCCTATTCAGAACACTAAGTGCCATGTTTGATTGCAGCAGAAGCAAAGCTTCTGAAAGAGAGTGTTCAAAGGATGAGAAAACATTCCATGAGACACCTTTCCCATCAAGGTGTTAAACCTTCAAGCTTACGATTATTATGTCTGACAGGAAAACAGGTGGTCTGGCCAGCTCTGAGTCTCTTGAAGTCATAAAGAGACTTTCTCTATGGAGTATGGAACTTTTGATGATATCACAATGGGTGCTCAGACCAAAAGAAAAACATGACCGTCACCTGACAGCGTGGTGTCCAGCCAACCAGCAATTCCTATCTTGAAGACTTTAAGAACTTAGCATCCTGAGCAGTTTTCTTCAGAAGTGGTGTGTGTGTGTTATGTGTTGTCAGGGATCTAGGGAAACAGCTGAGAGTTTCTAGAGTGTTTGACAGTACTTTGCACGTTCAGGGGTCATAATGGCATAGACTTAAACTCAGACCCTCAGAATAGCTGCCCAAACCCACTAGAATCACATTATAATGAAAGATTTAAGGCGTTTAAACTAGCTAGGAAAAGTAAAATGAGATACAATGGCAATTTATGGAAAAATGCCAGACAGTGGGGGTAGCCGCATTTATGAACATTGTGGGTTTAGAGATAGTCAGAACCAAAGAGGCCAACAAGCTTCAGGGCAGGGTGGTGTATGGATCCCATCTTACAAACTCTGTGGGATTTAAGTGTGGGTTAGTGTCGGAGAACAATGGCAACAAACCACTGTGTGTTCTCTGCTTTCTTCCTAGAAAAGTGGTGACAGTGGCATCGGCTGATGAGCATCAAGAAATTCCTTTCCTGAAAAAGGGAAGAGTTAATTTGGAACCCGTGACAGCACCTAATGGGGAGAGACTTATATGCCAGGAGAAACAGCGTGACAGGTCATGAAAATATGGATTCAAAATATCCATTCAGAAATCACTTCTATTCTTCCTTCTTTCTCGTGACTTGTCCTTTTTACTTGATTCTCTTCTTATTCTCTCCTCATTGGTCTTGAGGTGTCCTGAATTTAAGCCCCTCTCATTTAAGTATGAGCTATTTCCTTCCATATCTGTCCTGAGCTTTTCTCAGTTTCCATAGATTCTTGTATCTTTTCTTAAAAGAACATGAACTTTGCCATATTATGTTAAAGCCATTAGATTTGTTGAGTTCTCATTAGTTCTACCAATCTGAAATTGACTAGAACTTTTGAACAAGTTGGACCTATACCTTTCATAATTTTATAGCTTGTTATATTATTTCTTTTCAACCTTAGTGTTTCAAATTGTAGAGTAGTAGTAATTGTAGTTTATCTGTATATGATAAGTAAGCTTGATTGTTTTAATTTCTTCTCTCATATCAAACACATACTCTCTATGGTATTCTTAATCCTTTTTGACAGTACTTAAAATGTTGGTGCACATGTGTGTAGTGGGACTTTTGACTAAAATAGTTATAATAATTATATCAGTTGCGGTTACTATTTGTTGAACATTCAGTGGCAGAAACCGTGTTCAGTGATATATTCTGAACTCATTTAATGTTTCTACCTTCTTTAAAATTAAGTATTCATTTGCTCACCTTTCTGGATGAAGAAGGATAGCTGAGAGAGGTCATCTGAGAAGGGAATATTGAAGACCAGCTGCCTTCCAAACCTGTGCCTTCAGGCAATATACTATAATAGTGTTTTAGTATATTTTCTCAGTAATAACTTTATTTTTCAAATTTTAATTCTTATTTTCCTGTATTTTACTGTGCTTTACTCTATAGAATAGTTACTACAATTTTGTGTGTTTTAGATATTATTATCATAAATTATCTTGCCATTTTTTAAAACACAAAATAGACTATCCTTTAAAGTAAAATAAATGTAGCAGACAGAGAGGAGATTAAATATTTCTTTAGAAATTTTAAATACTAAATGACTTTGTGTGAGAATTTCCTTAACCTTTTTTGCTTCATACATGGTTTTTGTCGAAGATTCAGGATGACTTTAGAGGTGGAAAAATTAACCTAGAAAAAACTCACAAATTACTTGAAAAATTAGATATTCGGTGCAATATAATGCATGTGAAACGTGTTTTTAAGGTGAGATGATATTTGCCCCATGCCTCTCCCATCACATGAATGTAAATAGACATCAATAGTTACTTGGATGTTTTCTGTAAAAAATACATATGAAAAAACAGTCTATAAAGAAAAAAAGCAATTACTTATGCTAATTATATTTACAATCAAGAGGGGCAGAATTTAAGTGGTGAAATCCGTTGTGGGTAAAATTTGAAATAATAGCATTCTAATGGTTTAGAACAATTTCCCAGTTATATTTGAATGTTCATATGAGGTCTAGGATTAGTTGGATCCTTAAATTAAAATCTCATTAATGATGAAATGGATTGAATATTAGTGATTTATAGACAACACAGACTCAAAGTTAGCAGAAGAAAGAAAATAATAAAAATTAGCATAAAAATAAACAATAATAGAGAAAAGAAAAAGAGCAATAGAAGAAATTGATGAAAATAAGAGTTGCCTTTTTGAAAAGTTAAACAAAACTCAAATAATTAGAAAAACTGAGATAAAGGAAGAATCATGTAAAATCAGAAATGAAAGAGGGGACATTACAACTGATCCCACAGAAATAAAAAAGAGCATAAAAGTCTACTATAAATAATCATACACTAACAAACTGGACAACCTAGAAGAAATGGAAAAATATTTCAAAACGTACAACCTACCAAGCCTGAACCAATAAGAAATAGAAAACTTGACTAGACCAATAACAAGTAAGGAGTCTGAATCAGTAATGAAAAACCACCCAGCAAAAAAAAGCCTGGGACTAAATGACTTTATAGGTGAATTCTACCAAATATTTTAAAAAGTATTAATACTAATTCTTCTTAAGTGCTTCCAAAAATAGACAAGGGAGCATTTCTAACTTTTTAAGTCCAGCATCACCCTGATACAAAAATGACACTACAAGAAAAGAAAACTACAGGCCAATGTTTTTGATGAACATAGATGCAAAATTCCTCAACATAATATTAGCAAACCAAATTCAACAATCTTTAGAAGGATCATACACCATGACTGAATGGGCTTGATCCCTGGGATGCAAGAGTGGTTCCATATATGGAAATCAATTGATATTATACAACATTTTAACAGAATGATGGGTAAAAATCACAGAAAAGGCAGGAAAAAGTATTCATCAGAAAAAACATTTGAAAAAAATTCAATACTTTTTTAAGTCTAGAACTCTCAAAACTTGTATACTTAAACTAAAATATCAATGAAAGACATTTTGAAAAAACAAAAGTATATGAAAAAACAAAAGTATATCAAAAGATATCACATGTTAATATGTTCATGCTACACAAGGTTATCTACAGATTTGATGCAATTCCTATCAAAATCACACTGACTTTTTTTAAAATTGTAAGATGGCACACATGCTTACCAGAGAGACAGAGAAAGAGAATGAAAGCAACCCCAAATAGGGTGTGCCATGCCACAGTTACTTCTCCTTCATTTGTCCATCCTGAGAAGCTACAACAGAAAACAAAAGTTTCAGAGTTGTTTCTATGAATCCAAGTAGTCTTTGCTACTTACTCTAAGCTATTGAGATTTTGATCAGTTCATGTCTAATAGAACTTCTGAAGAATACAAGTTTTTGTGAAAAATCCTTTAATGAACATAGATGCAAAATAAAAATTAGCATAGAAATAAACAATAATAGATAAAGGAAAAAAGCAATAGAAGAAATCAATTTCTTCTTTGATGGTATTTCCCAAAGGCAGACAGATTTATATAGTTCCTGATCTAGTGAAGTGATATTCAGCACAACACAGAGGTAGTAATATATTGAAATCTGAATCAAATGTGAACCATAAGTATTCTTCAGTGATTATCAGGTTGCTTAAAAATAGAGAGAGCTACTTGAACTGATATTGAGTAATATGCTTACCATTTATATACATATTTATTTATTTTTAGGTTTTGCTATAGGGCATGTCTGCTTGCCAGAGAGAGAGACAGTAGAGGGAAAGTGAAAAATCATTTCCCAGGGAAATGGCCACACCACAATCCCCTCTCCTCCATTCCCCTCCTGGGAATCTGGATACACATGTACACAAGTCCAGCATGATTTTCAAGCCACTGGGTCTAGAACTTGAACCATGGTCAGCTATATGGGAGTCCAGCACCTTAACCACCATTCTGCCTGCTGGTCCCTGCATGGCATATTTAAAAGCCTTAGGTAGAATGCTCAATAGTTATAAAATTAGAGATATCACTCACTAATTGAAATTTATAAGTATTTGAACATTGGTAGGCTTGTAGGTCTATCGTGTTGAGCAAAATCTTTTTGGAGTGGCTGTGAAAATAGTTAATTTTCACAGAGGGGCAAAGATTGCTTAAAATATTTCAGGAATCTCTTTAATATGACCTTGGGTACTTTTAAAGCCTGAATTATATAAAAAATGCCTGATGATCATAAACAGCCATTGTTATCTATTAAAATAATTCTAGGCCTTCTATTAGTAACAGGTACTTTGTTGCCATAAAGTAAATTGTCATATGTGCATTCAAATGTTGATTAGAAAAATGCTCAGGATAGGCATGTAGGCTAAGCAAATTTTGTAGGTAGCTGAAGACTAATCTTAAACATTCAACTCTTTTGCTCCAGCTCTTGTTTTCGTACTTTGTGGGTCCCTGTTTTGCCAGAGTAAATAAAAAAATCATTATAAATTATTTGGTACTTAAAATCTTCCAATGTCTCAGGTCTTAAGAGATTCTTGGCTTTAGTGGAGTCTAGCTGTGTAGAACCTGGCAAGTCAAAAATCTCTCTGACCAAATTTCTCAGTCTGTAAAATGGGGATACTAATATAGTTACCTCATAGGATTCTTCTGAATATTAAACAAGATATTATGTATGATGTAAATAGAAGTAGGCATGGCCAAAAGTAGGTACTTGATCAATATTTGTTGAAGTTGCGTCAGTTACAATTGTTCAAAAACATATAAAAATTGCATTATGTTTATTGATTTCCTAAGGAGCCATAACAAATTCTGACATAAATTTATTTTCATACAAGGTGACTTTTAATTATAAATCTGGATGAAGGACATATAACTTTATGATCTTGGCAATAGGTTTTGAACCTCTTTCTGTAAGATTAATTCTTGAGTCATGGCCAGAGCAGCAGTATCTTAAGTTTCTTTTTGATCCCTTTGTTAAGAAATTTTTATTGTGCAGTAGTCTTTAATTTATAACATTTAAAATAGTTTTAGGAAATAGTACTTGCCACTTTAACACATGTAACTAGTCTTAGATTTATATTTTGATTATCAATTGAATCTAAAGTAGTACCCTTATTCATTTCAAGAATTTATTAAAGAATTTACTTTAAGTTCTCAAATTCTCTAAGTGATCAACCATTATTAAACCTACAGGAGTACTTCAGAAAGTTTGTGGAAAAATGGAATTAAAGTATGAGTTTATTTTGGTGTGAAAAATTTTGAAATTCATGAATTTTTCATGACATGCATTTCCATGAACTTTTTGAAGCACCTTCAAACCCATGTATATTATGTGCATGGTATTCTATTAGAAACTTTGGATTATAAAAAAGTAAATAAAGTGTTATCTCTCTTTTATAGGGAGGAAAAAGAATGCAGAAACTTATTTTATTAGTAGGTTGTAATAAATCTAATGAATAATACTAACAAGAAATATGAGAAGAAAGACCCTATTTAACTTGGGTTTTTAAAGACGATTCCATGGTGAAGGTGACGTTCTTGCTGGAACATAAAGAATGAGAAGCAATATGTGTGAAATATGTAAAAGGAGTGCTTGGAAAATAAAATGTAATTCATGAAGGCATGTGGTGAGGAGTAGACACAATGACACCTGTTACCAAGCTTGGTGATGGAGCCTTGAAGCCTAGACCATGCAATTTGGATTTCCATTTGTGAGCAATGGGTAGCCACTAACAGTTTTTGAGTAGAAGAATATTCCATATTTTAGGATAAATCAACTGGCAGTTGTGTAGAATGGAGTTGAAATTAAAAGTCAGAGGGTGGGTTATTCCTCTACCTGTCTACAAATTAGCAACTTGGAAACAGTTCAGACACTTGCATTCTGTTTGGTTCTACCTCAAGTTTATGGTTTTCGGCCTTTGTTGGTTTTCCATGATCTAAACTTTAGTATCACTTAAAAATAAATAGTACTATATCCTCTCTTTAAAAGTTATATTCCCTCTTTTAGAATCTTTAAAGATCTGATCATTTATTCGCCATCTATCCTGCGATCAGCCTTTCTTTTATGCTCTTCTTAAAGTTAGGGTTTTCGGATACTTTCTTATTCTTTTCAAACTCTTCTGGTCAACTCTTGTTGATTCTCAATGGCTTCAACTATTAGTTAAACAGGAACAAGTTCCAAGTTTTAGCGGATAAACCAAAAGAATCCTTTACATTTCTTTCTCCACCTCTTCAATGATGCAATACATTATTCCTTTCATACCTACCTTGAAACTCCTTTATGGCTAAAGTGTTCAATCCACTGATAAGCCTCTCTATGCCTTTTATTTATCCCTCTTTTGTTTAAATTTTTTTCTGTTCTGACTTCTATGACATCACTCTCTCCTGGTTTTCTTTTAAAATCTTGACTATTTCTTTTCCATCAGTCCTGCCATCCTCCCTTCTTCTATTCTCTTCTCAAAGTTGAATTCCACATTTCCTTTCTTCTTTTTAAACTCTTCCTGATCAAGCTTATTGATTCTCAATGGCTTCAACTACTTCTTAAATAGTACTAAGTTCTAGGTTTTCTAGCCTAATTTGTAAATCACCTGCCATATTCTTGCCACTGATTGGGTTTTTGCACGTATTATAACAAACACCCGAAGAAGTTATTATTAGCTTGATTTTATACATAGGATATTAAAAAATAAGAATTGTGATATAATTTGTTCAATTTTACATCACAATGAGAACTCATGTTGGGTTTGTCTGTCTCCCAAATTCTTACTGTGTTTTCTTCTTGAGCGTGTGCTTTCTTTGTCACACTTCTTTCATCTGTCCCTACCCCT